TAATGTGGTCCAATTTCCCCAGCACCATTTATTGAAGAGACTGTCTTTTCCCTACTGTATATTCTTGCCTCTTCTGTTGTAGATGAATTGACCATATTAGTGTGCATTTATTTTGGGGCTTTCTATTCTGTTCCATTAATCGGTGTGTCTGTTTGTGCCAGTGCCATACCGTTTGGATTACTACAGCTTCATAGTCTATCTTGAAATCTGGGCTTGTGATACCTCCGGCTTTGCTGTTTAAGATTGTTTTTGGCTATTGGGTCTTTTATGGTTCCATACAAATCTTAGTATTAGTAGGTTTAGTATTACTAAAAGCCTGCTTTAGGCGTCCCAATCTTCTCCTTTCCTTTAAAAGACTGAGAGAGGTTGTGTATAACATAGACCTTAGGAGTTTCACAACAAAGAGGAGCTTTTACGAGCTCATTGGCATGCATTCTCCTCTGGTCCTGGAAATAAGCCATAAATAAAGTTTATTTGTGAGAGAGGGTGGGAGGGAGAGAGGACACGCACATGAGCGGGGGAGGGGCAGAGCCAGAAGCCCAAGCAGGCTCTGCACTGCCAGCACAGAGCCCACCGCGGGACTTGAACTCCCATGAGATCATGACCTGAGCCAAAACCAAGAGTCAGACGCTTTAACCCACCGAGCCACCCAGGCGCCCCTAGATCTTGCCTTTTTTAAATGGGCTTTAAAGAAAGCTTCCGAGGTCAGCTAGGTGGGATGAGAGTAACCCAGGGGAAGTGACTGCTGGTCACTGGTGCCTTCCAGGGGCTCCCTTGTCCTCATCCTTCCTCTGGGTTTGTTCTGGCCTTCTTGGTCCTGATTGTGGTTCCAGGCGTGTGGATTACTCTTGTCACTTTATATGCTTGCTGAGTCGTCTTGAAATCTTCCATATTGGATGTTCTTGGACTCCTGGTTAATTTGGCCTAAAGCACAGGACACGTGAGGCGAATTAATCCCCTCCTTCATTGAGATTGGCTTGTTTGGTTTCTCTTGCATGGCAATGACTTCAATTAAGGAAATTGTTCTTTGGCATGCAGGTTGTACTTAACAGGATCAGGATTATATTACTATGCATTTTTGAACGTTTAAAAGTTGTTGTGATATATTTGTGTTTCCTATGCTGGTGCCTATGTATTCCACAGAGGATTATTGAAGAATCATTGAAGATTGAAATGGAAAAAGAAATGGAAATGACTGTTGAAGAAACGAAAGACCAGCCTGTCTGTGGTGAAAATCCTTTAGAGAAGTACATGAGAATTCTTCAGCAAAATCAAGACCAGGAGTCTGCAGATAAGGTGCTGATGCTTTGGACCGGCTGTCTGTGGAAGGGGTGCCGGGGGATGCTTTAGTTTGTTTGAAGACCTTAGGACGAGAATCTGCCTTCTCCATCAGAGACCAAAAGTTGAGGCGTAGAAGATGCAAAGTTCAAATAGAGCCTTGAGTCTCTTGGCCAAATTTCATCACTTTTGTTTGGGTAAAGATGGAAGAGATCTCTATGTCAAATTTGATAAAAGTTGACATGTGTCTCATTATTTTAAGAAGAAAGAAAAAATGAAAGGTGTATTCATGAATAAAAAATGCATTAGTGCTCTCTGAGACCTAAATACTTAAGTCTCAGACACTGGGTGTTGAGAATGGGTAGCAGGTGGTTTATTTTGATATGCCTACTAAATTTGATGTTTAGAAGTCACCTCTTT